TTGAGACGCAGCATCTGGCTCCCCCTGCGCCCAGGTGGGCACCAACTCCTGTTCTGGGCACCGGGTGAGTCTGTCTGCAGGGTCGTGTCGCCCGGCAGCCCCCGTCCCCCGTCCCCGGTGACACTCGGCCCCTGGACTCTTGGGAGGTTCTCAGGACAGGAGGCCGACTGGCAGCCTCCCCCCGCCCAGCCCTGTGCTGCCCAGTGGCTGCCTCCCTGGCCGCAGTGGGAAGAGGCCGAGGGGTGACCCCGTTACCGTTCACCCCGTCCCTCAGAGGGGGGCTGCCGGCGGGGTGGTGCCTGGCCTCGGACGACCTTAGGATCCGGCTGGGACCCCGTGGCGAGACGGCCGTGGGTCCTGCAGGTGTGGCCGCGGCAGCCGGTCAGCAGTGCCAGGTCCCCCAAGTCAGAACGTGGGGGTGCGAGGGGCCCAGCTGCTTGTGATGGGAGCGAGGGGCCGTTCCCAAAAGCTCGCCCTGGGCCCTGCTGGCCCTGACTGTCCCAGCTGGAGACATCAGTCGCAAAGCGGTGCCGTGACCAGGACAAAGTAGGGGTCCTTGGGCTGGACGCTGTGGGTGCCCCTGGCCCCTCGGGGCTCCTGGGCTCCTGGGTTAAGAGACCAGAAGGCCCGGCCGGCGTGGCTCAGTGGTTGAGCGTCGACTATGAACCAGGAGGTCACTGTTCAATTCCCGGTCAGGGCACAGGCCCGGGTTGTGGGCTCCATCCCCAGTGTGGGGTGTGCAGGAGGCAGCCAATCAGTGATTCTCTCATCGTTGATGTTTCTATCTCTCTCCCTCTCCCTTCCCCTCTGAAATCAATAAAAATATTGAAAATAAAAATTATTTTTTAAAAAAAGAGACCATAAAAGGGTCACTTGATGGCAGGGGGAGGGGTCCAATCGAGAGGTAAAGGGGTGTTACCACTCAGTGTGAGGGGGATGCGGGGTCCCCGCGGGCCCCCCACCCCTGCACCCCTGGCCATGGAGGTTGGTGGAAGGCCAGGGCAGAGAGGAATGTGTTCATGCCTCGGTTCCCTCTGAACCGAAGACGGGGTCACCCCCCCTGGAAAGGGAGTGTGTGTGGGGTGGGGGTGGGGGGCTGTGAGAAGGTGACCTTGGGGCCAGGCCCGGGAGGAGCTTCCGGCAAAATGCCCTTTCCTGCTGCCACATGCATTTTTACAGAATTTTTAAAGAACATATTTTTATTGATGTCAGAGAGGAAGGGAGAGGGAGAGAGAGAGAAACATCAATGATGAGAGAATCACCGATCGGCTGCCTCCTGCACGCCCCCCACTGGGGATGGAGCCCGCAACCCAGGCACGTGTCCTGACCGGGAATCGAACCTGGGACCCTTCAGGCCACAGGCCGACGTTCTATCCACTGAGCCACACCGGCCAGGGCTGGCTCCCCTGTTCGGACTCCATTCCCAGCCTGACCCCGGAGTCTGTGCGTGCCCCCTGCTGAAATGGGGCCTCCCCGCCCCCGTCCCGCCTCCACGTG